CCACCACAACACTTGGCTATTTTTAGAGACGAGGTCTCACTCTGGCTCAGGCTGCTCTTAAACTGGTGAGCTCGGGTAGGCCTGGGCCTATCAGAGTTCTAGGATTACAGGTGTGAGCCACCACACCCAGTCTATAAGGTACCAGCTTACAGGATTTCAAGCCTTGGAAAGACAAAATTCCCAGCTAGACTTCTGCTGAAAACTCCTCTCCTTATAGTAGTTTCTGCATTCCCACCAGAATTTCAGGTTACTTACCTATGCAGGGTCAGGATGCTAATAAGCTGTCAAGAAACACAGCAGACTTTTATTTCCCCCCTCAGAAGTTGATTTTTCTATTCTTGTGTAATTTCTCCTAATGGAAAGTGTACCTGATGTGCTTTCTTCTAGCACCAGAACCCATGGAACTTGATGGCCCTAAAGGAACTGGATACATCAAGACTGAGTTGATTTCTGTGTCTGAAGTGTAAGTGAACACGGAAGAGAGACATATTTAAAAACCTCAAGCCAGTCTTGATCCTGGCTGGGGCCTGTTGAAGATGCTTGCGGTTTGCTTTTCCTTTGTAATTACTGTCACCGTGATGGTTGGAATTGTTGGAAAGATCCCAATTAGAGATCCTTGCCATTATTGCCTGTTAGCATTTTACTGCCTTAAAAAAAAAAAAAACTCAAAAAACAAAGATGTATTTAAGGTATATAAGTTCTTCCTAAACTTTGAAAAAGTATAAATAAACGGAACAAAACTTGATCAGAGTGGGAAAGTAATTCTTTTCAGTCTCCAGAAGGCCAAAGTAATGATTGAGATCTATTGTCTCCACTTGCTTTTATTTTGTTGTTTCATTTTATAAAAGGTAGAAAAAAATTTGGAAAAGTCTTTGTCAGTTATTTGGCCCGCAGCACTGTCTTGGGGTGAATGGATGTAGCCTTCATGTAAAAACACTCTGTGGAGCAGCCTTATCTGCATACAAACCTCAAGGTAGGGATGAGGGACTCCCCAGACATTCCTCTGGTGCTTTCTGTCCAGGGTAAGCCCCAAGGCCTGGTCTTCTGGCCACCCTGCACACGCTCACACTAGGCTTCACCAGGCAGAAGCGGCAGGTTTCAGGCTGGCTATCGCTCGCTCACACCTCTGGATTCCCATGTGTTCCTCGAGGGGCTGGGCTGGGGACCTAAACCTCTCATGATTTGTACTTTTTCAGTGTGTTTTGTGAAGTGTATGCTTTTACCGGAAATAAAAATATAAAGTGACACGGTTGAATCACAGAAGATAAAATGTGCAAGTTTGTATGACAGCTTTCGTAATTTAGATGTTAACCTTTCCTTTTCCTTTCTTCCCATTGTAGTCACCCCTCTAGACTTCAAAGTACAGACAACCTGCTCCCGATGTCTCCTGAGGAGTTTGACGAGGTGTCTGATGAGGTGTCTCGGATAGTGGGCGCTGTAGGGTTTGACAGTATGGTGAGTACCGTGGCAGGGCTGTCCTTGGCTCTCGGTAAGTGGGAGCCCTCTGAGGTGAAGGGACACATCCATCCTGGGCCAGTCCGCAGGAACGATGCCTCTGGCAGAGCCAGAGAAAGGGCATTTTTTAGATGAACCCAGACAAGTTGGAGCCTGCTGTATTTAAACAACGTACATCGTCAGTGGAATTTTTTATTCCTGGCAGTCAGCACCTTCCAAAAAATAAGTGTGACATTTCAAATATTTAAAGTTTTTCCCTTCTGTCCTTTGAAGTTGTTCTTACAGAAATTTCATCTATTAAGGAGCTAAGATTTCTCTGATAAGGAAATATTTTCCTTTGACCTGTTTCATTACTGTGTCTAGATGAGGGAGTGCTATTTTTAGTAAGGGAGGGAACTAATGCTTGGTAGTTACAGTAATTATAGAGAATTATACTTAGCTAGCAGCAGTGAAATAATTCCTCATGCCTTTATTTGAGAGCTAATTTGTCCTGTTAGCTTCTGGGGCTATGAAGGGCTTGCCAAGAGTTAAAGGTTCAAGAATTGAAAAAGTTAATGAGTTTCATGATAGAAATAGGAACATGATTGTCCACAGAAGGGGAGAATCTGCCTTTGGGAGAATGTTTTTCAGGATGTCAAATAGTATTGTTTGTCTTTCAACCTGAACTCCTTCCTCATAAAGATTTTGCATGGTTGGCTGGATTTTTGCTGATGCTGTTTAATTTCCAGCTCTTTTCCACATGGCTTTATTCCAGTTAATTTTAAAAAATTTGTTTAATGCTTTAAAAAATACGCTCTCTGAGGCATTACTGGCCATTCTTCATCACTGTGTACATGGTGCCTGGCAAAATAATGAGAAAGGAAGGCAGGGAGGGGATGGCTGAGAGAGAAGGGAGTGGGTGTCACTCTTCAAACACTCAAGGAATGCAGCTATTATGACATTATGACATGTAATTCTGCCTGAATTAAGGTTTCTCATGCTTACCTTCTCTGTCCATTCTCACCGTTACCAGCACAGGCTAAAATCTTCAGAGATTACACTTTTCTTATACCTTCCTGATGTGTGAGGATGAAAAAAGTCAACAGGCCTTTTAAGAGGGCGGCACCTATGGCTCAAGGAGTAGGGCGCTGTCCCCATATACCGAAGGGGGTGGGTTCAAACCCTGCCCTGGCCAAAAACTGCCCCAAAAAACGTCATTAGAAAATTGTTTAGCATTTGGCCGGGTGTGGTGGCTAACACTTGTAATTCTAGCAGTCTGGGAAGCTGAGCCAGGTGGATCACCTGAGCTCAGGAGTTTCAGACCAACCCAAGTAAGAGCAAGATCCCTTCTCTAAAAATAGCCAGGTGTTGTTGGTGCCTGTAGTCCCAAGCTACTCAGGAGACTGAGGCAAGAGAATTGCTTGAGCCCAGGAGTTTGAAGTTGCTATGAGCTAAGACACCATAGCACTCTACCCAGTGTGACTGAGACTCTGTCTCAAAAAAAAAAAAAAAAGAAAATGTTTAGCTAGTATGGTAGCAGAATAATCCCATTCCTGTTGGCAATTTTAAAATGAACCTTTTGTGCGTGTCAGGGAACATCCTGTTAAAATATATTTCCCAAAACTTCTGTAAAGTGCTTATATGCCTGACCTAAAAATGTCATAAATAAGTCCTATTCAGAAAATGTAAGTTATATTGATGGAGCCCCCTCCCCAATGGGGTGATCTTTTAAACCTCCTCTGTTGTTCCTCAGCAAGTTACAGTATCATCATCATCACTACCACTAATGTGTTCTGTTGATTAAACACTTCACAGGTACTAACTTGTCAGTCCCCACGACAACCTTCTGAGTTAGGTCTTTATTGTTATTTGTTATTCCCATTCTGATGGATGTGGAAACCACTGTCCCCTGTGCTGTCCCCTTAATGTAGTTTGACTTTGATGTGAACATTAGTGAATGGTAAATGATAAGGGGATAATATTTAAGGACTCCGAGGGAGTCTCTAGAGTGCCTGCTTTTGCCAGTACCCTGCACTGCCTCCCACAAAAAGCTAATTCTTGCTTCATTCAAAACATGCACCCTAAAGAACCTGTTTGCACAGGATTGAGTGTGTTTTATTCTGTGTGTTAAGACAAAATACAGACCTTTGGGTGAGAGGCCTGTCTTTGTTTGGGATTTGGCAGTCAGCGCTCCATCTTTGTCATCACCATTATTTCCTGTAACCTTCAGAAAATAGATGAGTTAGTTCCCTCTACATCTGTGTCAGCAGTAGGACTGCTTTCTGTGTGCTTGCGGAATGACACTGTGAGGACAATTTAAATAAATAAATGTCAGAACATGGTTTTGCAAAGCCAGGCACAGTGGCTCACGTCTATAATCCTAGCACTCAGGGAGGCTGAGGCGGGTGGATTACCTGAGTTCACAAGTTTGAAACCAGGCTGAGCAAGAGTGAGACCCTGTCTGTAAAAAGCAGGGCATTGGGGCAGGTGCCTGTGGTCCCAGCTACTTGGGAGGCTGAGGCAAGAGGATTGCTTGAGTCCGAGAGTTAGAGGTTGCTGTGAGCTATGATGCCATGGCACTCAACCCAGGGCGACAGAGTCAGACTCTGTCTCAAAAAAAAAAAGAATATCATTTTGCAGTCATTGGTGCTCCCACAGCCATTCCATTTCAAATGATTTCATTCATTTCATCTGTAGAATAAAATAAATATATTTCATACACACACATATGCACACACAGACTCACTTGCACATCTCCAGGTAAACCCAAGAAGACTTAAATGTGCTAAAAGAGGCTATAATATAGGCACAGCACTGGTTAGACAAAATAAAAGTCAAGTTAGCCTCTAAATTGGGTCATACTCAGCCTTGGCCATGACTCCACTCTGCATCCAGTCTTGGAATTAGGGCGTTTCCCTAAAATAGAAGATGCTGCCTCAGAGCTTTGTGCCAAGTCTGGAAGCTGCAGCTCTCGGTGAGGGAGGCACTTGGGAGCCAATGCTTGATGCAGCCTCAGGAGCTAGAAGATCACAGGCTCCTGAGGAAATTGTCCAGGAGAGCCAGAGCACTGGTGTTCTCTGCAGCACAGCTGGGCTGTTTGTTTAGTCTGGAGTTCCTGTATAGTCAACATTTTCCTCTGGGTCTGTGATAAAACCAGTCTATTCTTAGAGGCCTTTGGCCAAAGCTAATAATAATAGGAATGTTTATTAATTATCTACAATTTTCCATCTACTATACTGGATGTTTTACATATGCCATCTGATTTAATTTTTTGGCAAGCCTATCTGCTAGATACTGTTTAGCTTCTTTGTAACAGATGAAGACCTTGAAATTTAGAAACCTCAAGTCACATGCCATGCTCATGCAGTGACAGGGTTTGAGTCCAGGCTTTCTTTCTTCCTCTGTCTCTCTCTTCCTTCCTCTCTTCACCCCAAAGTCCATCTTAACTACACAATGGAACTCTAAGCCAGGTTGAAACATAGGGGCAAAACCTGCCCTGTGCTTTTCAATCCAAAATAATTTTTCTTCTGAGCACTTGGGATTAAAATAACTTTTTCCCATCAGGATTTCCAGTCTTGTGCCATGTGTCTTGACCTTGGTGCTACTGGTATTTGGGGTGGAGAATTCTTGGTTGTGGGGGACCATCCTGTGCACAGTAGGAAGTTTAGCACCATCCTTGGCCTCTCCCATATAGATGCCAGTAACTTACACACCTCCACACGCAGTCACGACAGTCACATATGATCTCAGTTTTTGCTGGGGCACAGAATCGTCCCTCACTGAGAACATCTGCTCTAAGGGGAGTGGCTAGTGTGGAGGTCACATAGGAAGTCAGCGGCAGGGGTGGGTATTCTTTGGCTTGAACCATTTACTGATTAAAAGCTGCCCTGATGAGGGCGTTTGAACAGAAGGCACTGCTGGGGGAAGTGGAGGGATTCTGAGTAATCCTGCTTCTCTAGCCTGTATCTGAAACACATTTATTTATTTGACCTACTGAGGGGCCTTTAAGGGAAATTGGTCACTTCCCTCTCTGCCGTCTCCCCATCTGGCACACAGCTCAGCATGGCCTCCCCCTTGTTTTTCATGAGATTTGCCACGTTGCTCTGTCCCCAGACTTGCATAACAGCAAAAAGCTTTATGCAGTCTGGATGGATTCACAAAATTAAGCCAGCAGGCTGCAGAGTCATAATCCATCAGCTTAGGTGATATAAAAGGTCTTGACTAGGCCAGGATAATGGACAGTATGTGCCAAAGGCCCTCTAATTCCATGGTAGTTATTTATCATTGGAAGTGTCTTCCTACTGCTTCGTTCTAGAATGGACAAGTAATGTTTAATATATGAGTCTGCATTTCACAAGATCAGAATGATAAACTTAACCACATTTTTTTCTTTTTACAGATGAATGCAGTATAGACCATGAATTTTTCTCATCTTCTCTGATGACAGTTTTCCTTCCCATCTGTGATTCCTTCCTGCTACTCTGTTCCTTCGTGTCCTATGTTTCTAGAGAAATGAAAGGAAAACCAACAAATTGCTGCAAACTGCTCGTAGCATGTGAATTTTTCTTTAACTCAGAAACTGTTGCAGTGAAAGGCATCATGCATCTTGATGAAGGTAAAATTGAAAGGCATTCTCTGCAGAGTGGGTTTTTGCAAATAAAAAACATCCAGATACACCCAAAACATTAGGACTAGAATGAGAGTCCTTCAGGAAGGGTGAGAGGTTTAGCAACATCTAGCAAATGCCATGCAGAAAGTCAGT